CATCTCCTCATAAACCGCTGAGCCAATTTCATCCAAACTTCACATGAATGTTCCTTTGGTGGTCACCTTTAAAAATTGTTTGGTAGAGCTTAGATATTTGGCATGAAACATCTTCTAGTGAGTGTCTATCAAGCTTGTTCAAATAAAAGCCCTGGGGTCAAAATTGGCCCCGCCCCGGGGGTCATTGTTTTTCCCTATATGCATATAGTAAAAACTTAAAAAATCTTCTTTTAAAGAACTCAAAGAGCTAGAGCTAAGATATTTAGCATGAAACATCTTCTAATGGGTGTCTACCAAGTTTGTTCAAATAAAAGCCCTGGGGTCAAAATTGGCCCCGCCCCAGGGGGTCATTGATTTTCCCTATATGCATATAGTAAAAACTTATAAAATCTTCTTTTAAAGAACCCAAAGAGCTAGAGCTAAGATATTTAGCATGAAACATCTTCTAATGGGTGTCTATCAAGTTTGTTCAAATAAAAGCCCTGGGGTCAAAATTGGCCCCGCCCCAGGGGGTCATTGATTTTCCCTATATGCATATAGTAAAAACTTATAAAATCTTCTTTTAAAGAACCCAAAGAGCTAGAGCTAAGATATTTAGCATGAAACATCTTCTAATGGGTGTCTACCAAATTTGTTCAAATAAGAGCCCTGGGGTCAAAATTGGCCCTGCCCCGGGGGTCATTGATTTTCCTTATATGTGTAAATTAGCAAAAACTTTAAAAAAAATCTTCTTTGAAAAACCCAAATAGCTAGAGTTTAGATACTAAGCATGAAACATCTTCTAGTGAGTGTCTACAAAGTTTGTTCAAATAAAAGCCCTTGGGTCAAAATTGGCCCCGCCCCGGGGGTCATTGATTTTATTTATGTGTATAGCAAAAACTTAAAAAAATCTTCTTCGGAAAAAAACAAATAGCTAGAGTTTAGATAATAAGCATGAAACATCTTGGGTTAAAACTGGCCCCGCCCCGGGGGTGTCATTGCTTTTAACTATGAGTGTATAGTTAAAACTTAGAAAATCTTTTTTTTAAAAACTCAACGAGCTAGACCTTAGATGTTTAGCATGAAACATCTTCTAATGGGTGTCTACCAAGTTTGTTCAAATAAAAGCCCTGGGGTTTAAACTGGTCCAGCTCTGGGGCCTATATACAGGTGAGCGACTTCAGGGCCATCATGGCCCTCTTGTTACACTTTGAACTTTGTCCGGGACATAACTCTAAAACTATAAGAGGTATCAACATGAAACTTTGTAGGTAGATAGATCTCATTGAGTAGGTGTGCAGTGCATAAGAACCGTAACTCAGCCTTGCCTAATTTTTTAAGTATCCCCCATTGTTTATTTTACACTTTGAACTTTGTCCGGGACGTAACTCTAAAAGTATAAGAGGTATCAACATGAAACTTTGTAGGTAGATAGATCTCATTTGGTAGGTGTGCAGTGCATAAGAACCGTAACTCTGCCTTGACTAATTTTTGAATAATTCCCCTTTGTTTATTTTACGCTTTGAACTTTGTCCGGGACAGAACTCTTAAACTATTAGAGGTATCAACATGAAACTTTGTAGGTAGATAGATCTCATTTGGTAGGTTTGCAATGTACAATAACCGTAACCCTGCCTTGCCTATTTTTTTTAATTAATCCCCTTTGGGTTTTTTTTACACTTTGAACTTTGTCCGAGACATAACTCTAAATGTATAAGAGGTATCAACATGAAACTTTGTAGGTAGACAGATCTCATTGAGTAGGCGTGCAGTACACAAGAACCATAACTCTGCCTTGCCTAATTTTTTAATTATTCCCCTTTGTTTATTTTCACACTTTGAACTTTGTCTGGAATATAACTCTAAAACTATAAAAAGTATCAACATGAAACTTTGTAGGTAGATAGATCTCATTAAGTAGGTTTGCAGTGCACAAGAATTGTTACACTGTCTTGCCTACTTTTGGAGTTATTGCCCTTTGCTAATTTTGACACTTTGAACTTTGTCCGGGATATTACACTAAAATTATAAGAGATATCAACATGAAACTTTGTAGATAGATAGGTATCATTTAGTAGAAGTGCATTGCTTAAGAATCATTACTCTGCCTTGCCTAATTTTGAAGTTATTGCCCTTTGTTTATTTTTACTTTTTGACTTTTGTCCGGGACATAACTTTAAAACTATTAGAGATATCAACATGAAACTTTGTAGGTAGCTAGATATCATTGGATAGAACTGCAATGCTTAAAGAACCTAAACAAAGCCTGGTCTAATTTTGGAGTTATTGCCCTTTGTTCATTTTTACACTTTGAATTTTACCCGGGACATAACTCTGAAACTATAAGAGATATCATCAGGAAACTTTATAGATAGATAGATCTCATTAAATCGATGTGCAGTGCAAAAAAACATAACTCCGCCTTGCCTAAGTTTGGAGTTTTTGCCCTTTGTTCATTTTTTTTTTATACTTTTCTGTGTCCAGAACCTTCTCGGGGAGCATCATCCGGTTCAACCGGTTCTTGTTTATTGAAATTATCTTGAACTTTTAAATTTGACAATTCAAGGAAAAGTGCAATAAAGTTTATATGATTCTTAAGGATTTTTTTGATCGATGTTCAAAGGTTAGAATTTTATCGTATTACATTTTGTTGTATCTTATATAAAAAAGGCAAAAGCCTCAAACCGTGATCGATTTACTTTTACCGTGAAATAAAATAATCGTTCAATTTCATGTCACATTTTCCGTTTTAAGACTGTCATTCGATATTTATACACCGCTTCCGTTTATTCTGGTTCCAAGTCCTATTATGGTTCCTATGAAAATGCGCAGAACACCAGTCTACGCATCCGTTTTCAATCAGAATACCTCGGCTTTTATCCTTATCTTGTTATTCGAAAAATTGCGACGTGTCAATTTCCGACTTCCGACAAAAGATTTCAAAACTATCACTATATAGCAGGTACTCGCGTCACCGTAAAGCTCTTTTGGGACCAGCTCTTCGGATTTGCTTTATTCACAGGAAATAATTTAGAGTTGAAAGAAAAATGGCCGCTAGTTACAAATTATAAGTTTCAGGAGCGGGGAAATTTGTTTTCAAGAATTGTTTCTTTGAACAAAAATGCCCTTTCTACGAAATTCGCTATTGAAAGTAGATTATTTTGAAATTTTGATAGTTTTTATGTGTTACATGATAAATAGAATAACATGCTACTGTCTATTGAAATCAATTTTATCAGGCTTGGCTGATTGTTAAAATACATTATGATCACAGTTGCTCGTATATTGATGTTTACTCTAGTCAATAGCTGCTTCGCCTGGTTGTCTTAATTGTATTTTGACATGTGTGCCATCTACTGTTTGCATGCTATTTAGATGGAAAACCGCGTGCAAAATCCACAATTATTATAACAAAAAATTGTCATGGTATCAGCGCTTTGTTCCATTGTGTATTTCTTTCCAAAAAAAAAAAAAAAAACAAAAAAAAAAACGGTCAAAGAAGTCTGACAAGTTTGTCAATGTTGTCTGTAGAAAATCTTTAGCTTTTCTCTAACTCCTCGTAAAATTAGTCAACTGTCTGTCAATTTGTGGGAATTGTCAGGGTTGTCTATGCTTACACGTAAAATGTCTGCCATGTTTTTTTTGGTTACTGTGCAGTACTAACCTTCACTACCTGGTGGTTACAGCGCGGTTACAGCTTTTTATGTTTTTATACAATCGCTCACCGCGAGGAAACGGGCTTATTACCGTAACCGTGTGGTAATCGCTCGGTTAAATTGTTTATACAATTGGCTGCTGGTGGCAATAAAAACTTCTAGAAACATTGCAAACTGTTCACAATCACCTAAGTTATATACATTTAACACTAGTAGAAGTATCTTCAATACTAAAATCATTAAACCTAGGGAGAGCGGTAGGTACATACCTAGTAAAAAAATATATATGAACTCTCTTTGCCTCTTAAGTCATTCTTTACAGTCTTGAAAAGTTTCTTCAAAGTGGAAATAAGCTCATGTTTTGCTATGTATAAAAGGGAAATTCTGGAGATAGTTCTTATTATAGAATAATCTTATAATTATTATCTCATACGACCTTGAACAAAGGTCTGAAAATAAACCTTTGGCAGGGATTTTAATAACCCTCTTCTGGTCCAGAAATTATCTATCTGATCGTCGAGTTCTATCCGGATCTTCTTCAAACATACTTAATATCACATTAGTGTTTCTTCAAGGCTTAATATTGGGACCCCTTATGTTCATCGTCTATATAAATGACATGTACACGACGTCTTGGACATGCAGTCAGTCTTAAGACTGTTTACTGATGTCGTATCTCTCAGTCTTATCGTTGAAGAAATCATTTTGTCAAGTTCGATCGGAGCAAAGCCGAATCATTAATTCTATCTCAGAAGCATCGACTACATAACTAGCCACACATCTCTTGTTATGAATAATACCTAAATTTCTGAAGTAGAATTCCATACTCGTCGTTGTGTTACGCTATCTAATGTAAGCACATTTTAAATATCAAACGTAAAGTTTTGCTAAGGATCAATACCATGCGGAAATTAAAAGAAAAATACCCTAGACAGAAATTCTCTAGAAACTATATATGTCTAAGATTATGTACACGTCTGATGGAACAATTTGACACATAATGATGGACGTGAATTGAAACAGAAGAAGAAGGCTTAAACACAATAGTATACGTTCTTGCAGGCTTGGTTTGATTGATGCTTTTCAAAGACGGTACTGGAAGACCACTCCCTGTAGCTGCTATAAAATGGCAATCTTCCTGGTACCATTTTATCTGTCTTAAGTCCCTCTATCTGTTGATGAGGTCACTCCTTGTACACTCTCATTATACTCACATTTTCAATTTTGTCATTTTAAGCCTAATTAAGGGATTCTATTTCTCCCTATTATAGATCCCATTGTCCCTTTTCTAAAATAAAATGATGTTCCTTTCTTCCAGTGCGTTGAGATTGAAGTATCATGCCATTTCCTTTTTATTGTAAATTCCTTAACACCGGAAACATTATATGCAATCCATTTTCTAATTTTTACTATATGGGTACTGTAGAATCAGCTAATTAAACCTATTTATAAACGTATTTAAATAAAAATGCCGCAATATTACTAACACAAATTTTAAAAGCATAAGAATAAGACGTGCAGATAGAATTCTTATACGTTTGCTACATAAAATTATTATTATTATCAAAAACGCGATTAACTAAATCGATTTAGATAGACAAATGTACAACGATTTATCTACCCATTTAAGTATTTTATAAATTTTATATTATTTTGAATATTACTTTAAGAACGCTCTGTTGCCTACAATGGAACAAGACGAAATGTATGATATAATAGATATTCTACGGGATGGTGAAAAAGACAACCAAATCGTTTATCGTAAGTCAAAATAAGCCAATACAAGTTCTGTAAATGCTATCTTCAAATTTGTCATTTATCTATCTATGTAGTGTAAGTCAGACTTTCAATAAAGTTGGATGCTTTTTTCCTCCATGCTTTTTACAATTATTACTTTAATTAGATATTTGTGAGTAATATAAATAAAACAAGTCTTTTTGTTATCGTCAATAACGTTGAACGGAAGTTCATAGGGTTAACTTTTCATATTTTACTTTATAAAAATCTTTGAAGTTATATGTTATCTTAAATGAAAATATGATAAGCTGTTTCAAAACATTATTTAAACATATTTATAATCAATGTCTTTCAGGATGTCAGAATGGTCATCCATATGTGATCCGAAATGTAAGTTCATTCTTAATTTGCAAATAAATTATAGAATAATAATGTAAGTAAGGTTCGCAAATACTTGTATATGAACAACGAAAAAACTGGTTATTTTACAATCATTTTCATAGTTCATAAACGATGTCTTATGTCATTTCTTAGACTGAATATTCCATTTACAACTATTCAGTAGAATAAATATTTATTTAAAGATGATTGAATATTATTGATAGCGTTTCATAAAACAAATGTTGCGTGTTTATCAGCATCTTTTTTTTACGTTTTTATGCCCCCCTTCGAAGAAGAGGGGGTATATTGTTTTGCTAATGTCGGTCTGTCTGTCGGTCTGTCTGTCGGTCCGTCGGTCTGTCCGTCTGCCCGTCGGTAGACCACATGGTTTCCGCTGATTATCTTGAAAAGTATTTATCACAAAGTCTTCATATTTCACATAGTGATTGGTCATAACTAGTAGATGACCCCTATTGATTTTGGGGTCACTAGGTCAAAGGTCAAGGTCACAGGGACCTTTAATGTCAAAATGGTTTCCGCTGATTATCTTAAAAGGTATGTATCACAAAGTCTTCATATTTCACATAGTGATTAGTCATCACTATTAGATGACCCCTATTGATTTTGGGGTCACTAGGTCAAAGGTCAAGGTCACAGGGGCCTTAAATGTCAAAATGGTTTCCGCTGATTATGTTAAAAAGTATTCATCACAACGTCTTTATATTTCACATAGTGATTGGCCATCACTAGTAGATGACCCCTATTGATTTTGGGGTCACTAGGTCAAAGGTCAAGGTGACAGGGACCTTAAAATGTCAAAATGGTTTCCGCTGATTATCTTAATAAGTATTTATCACAAAGTCTTCATATTTCACATAGTGATTGGTCATCACTAGTAGATGACTCCTATTGATTTTTGGGTCACTAGGTCAAAGGTCAAGGTCACAGGGACCTTAAATGTCAAAATGGTTTCCGCTGATTATCTTAAAAGTATGTATCACAAAGTCTTCATATTTCACATAGTGATTAGTCATCACTAGTAGATGACCCCTATTGATTTTGGGGTCACTAGGTCAAAGGTCAAGGTCACAGGGGCCTTAAATGTCAAAATGGTTTCCGCTGATTATCTTGAAAAGTATGTATCACAAAGTATCGATACTTCACATAGTGATTGGTCATCACTAGTAGATGACCCCTATTGATTTTGGGGTCACTAGGTCAAAGGTCAAGGTCACAGGGACCTTAAAATGTCAAAATGGTTCACAGGGGCCTTTAATGTCAAAAGGGTTTCCGTTGATTATCTTGAAAAGTATTCATCACAAAGTCTTCATATTTCACCTAGTTATTGGTCATTAGTAGTAGATGACCTCTATTGATTTAGGGTTCATTAGGTCAAAGGTCAATGTCACATGGGCCTTAAATGTCAAAATGGTTTCCGTTGATTTTTCCATAATTGAACACTTCCATGTACCCATTTTTGGCAAGTTTCTGTAATAAAATTACCAATTATGTGAGTCAATGGCTAGAAAGTGGGGTATATGTGTCGTTCGACATTCTTGTTTATGTTTGTAATATTTCATGATAATGGGATACGTGATAATTAAAAAAAAGTAATATGTTATAATTTGACATTCAGTGTGGAAAACCTTGGGTAGTTGCAAAATGTCCATGTGGATCGAAAATTGGGGGTACACTGCACAAGCTTGAGGACAAAAATGTAAAGGATGATGGGTATGTCTCAAAATGTGCTGTTGACCTATTGTGTTCACTTTTAACTTCATGTGTTATTTTGTTACACATTTATTTCTGTGGATGCTTATGTAATAAAAAGGTATTTGTGAAAGTGTCACAAAAATTCAACTTAAACTTTAAAATCAAACGTAATGTCTAATGTTTATCTTAAAATAATGCTTGAAACATAGATATGTTAAAATAAATGCCTTGCGCTATAACGTTTTGTTTGCATTTAAACAAATGTGGCAATTTTCACTATTCATTAGACCCTGCATTCAAGAGAACTATGATTGGTGATATAGAGTCATTTGTAAACACTCTCTGATGTTACTTTTGAAAGCAGGAAAGTCGCAATATACTGTAAATTTAAGGCTTTAATTGAATTAAACACACATCTCAGTCATAAAATTGATCGGTTAAAAAGCTAGACTGAAGTCAAGTATCTGGTATTTCATAGATATCAATGCAATGTTTTTCAAAATAAAACATGTTTAAGATATGCTATGCTTATCTCTGAGTAATCTAATCAATCACGGAAATTTATGAAAACTATAAAAATACTACTATATCTAGTTTGAATAAACGAATAAAAGAATACAAAAATGTGAATGGGAAGCTGTCTTCCTTAACAAGTCAAGCAAAGTTAGTCTTTTCTTAAAAGAAATGCCAGTTTTTTAATGGCAGGCATGGTCATAAAGTTTCATAAGCTCATTGTATTTCTATGATAATCGTGAAACTTTTTTCGGTTAAAACGATAAAACAAACAATAAAAAACACAGAGCCAAAGGCTCATAATTTTGTAAAACTCATGTAAGAGTTATTTGTGAATTTTCAAACCGTCGCCTTTAGTGATTTTGGAGACAACTTACACGCAAAATCCTTACGGACTCTAATCCCGGATGAGTACATAAGCTGCAATAGTAGAGCTTATAATTATCGAAATCACGTTCTTTAAGGTGACAACAGACACTTTCCGTGGTACTCACATAAATGTCATTTAAACTAAGTTATTTTAGTAATAATTGTTATTTATTTAATCTTTGTGCATTAAATATCGTTGATCATCATAAAAAATAACATATTTGAAAAAAATGCCTTTGTAAATGATTGATTTTGAATAAAAATCCTAAAATTTTAAATCGTAATATCAAAGTCATTTTTTATTTTTTTGTCATCAAACTTTTGGAAAATAACCATACTTATATTATCTGGGGAACTGTGTCTCAAATTTTTTCTATCTTTTCTCAAAAAAATATTACGTAACGTCAAACATTTTATGCGACTTTTTTCACCATACATATTACGTAATTAAAGATAATTAAGTCGCTGATTGAGCAAACAAAAATCCCTGACACGGTTCCCTCCGTAAATGAATTTCCTTTCATGTGCTTTAAACCGCATGTTAATTGCTTGATTATTAAAAAAGTTATGCCGATTCAAAGTTAGTCCGACCCGCATCAAACGAAGTGTCATAAATCGGCTGTTCTCTCTCGGACCCCTACGTTTCACGCTAAATAATTGCATTATACACAAATATCGCACCAGAGAGGGTCACAAGTTGCGGTAACATACTCTAACAACATTTTATGACCCAGTGACATCTGACCAATTAAAAAGCTGCTGATTAATATCAGTTTATAGCCGAAATTTCTTCAATTCTTAACGTGATTTACTTTCCGTCTGGTATCTGTCGCACATGTCACGTGACTATCGGTAAAATATGAGGCACTCAGTGGGGGGAAATGGAACGCATTGCGCACCGCTAGCGGGGTATTTAATTGTTTCCTTTTTGAAGTTTATTAAATTATTATCATCAGCATTATTATTGTATTATACCAGTGTCACTCTGCCTGTGTATTCGTGTATGAAATTCCGTTAAAATATAAAATAAAATAACAAAAAACTGAGCTTCTGACAGTCTTTTAAAGTCCATGGTAGATGTACAAATAAGAACGGGATATTATATATTTTTTTCCACCAAATTGATAATGCTTCACATATTTTAATAGAAATAAAAGATATTACTCGATCATTATGATCTGGCCTTCTTGACTTCTATTATCATGAATATCATCTATGCACGGCATAAAGATCCAGTTTCTACCGGGATAGACAATAAATTTCATACTTTGTCCCAGATTTATTAGTACTGTGTCCGATTTACTGGCGAACAATTTATTTTCACTGAAAATATATTTTAATATCTTTTTTTTATTCATAGAGAAATAATCATCCTTAGACAATCTAAAATGGTTTAGAAATTTGTCAGGGACACCTTACCACAAGTCATATAGGCGTTCACATAAAAAATGTTGTCTGTTTTTGTTGTTAATTGTTTTACTTGACATTGTTAGAAAACGAGGTTGAATGTAAAGTAAACCCTTGAATCCGTACAAAAGTCTATCAACTCAATGTAATATCTATCAGTTTAACGGGACAGACAAATTATTCTCACACATTATGGATATTTTAGCAACTACATTTTTAATCAACCCCGTGGTCGTGCGATTTGCCGCTATGCTTAATTATTTATGTTTCATACATTATGTTACGTACATTGGCCGACAATTTTTTAGTTTATAAAAAAAGGCTAAATGTTGAGATATTCATAAAAGATGTACGGTAATTGTACGATACATGTATTACGAGTAGTATGGACCAGTATGGACCTGTAATTCACGCATATATGAAACTACCGATTTCCCTCATTGATGCCTCAACAGGGGGCGGAGCGTTATCGATAATCGACAGGTTACGCAAATAGCAGATACAAATAGTATAGGTACCGTTTTAAAACGTTTAAAAACACATTTTTTGGACTAACTGCTTCCAAAATTAAATCACGAATGTGTTCAGAAAAGGTTGATAAATCTACTTAGCAAAAAATCTCATTTTAGGTATTTTCAGTGATAATTGACTCCGTTGTCACCTTAAAAACAAAATGATATTTCGTAAATACGAAAAGTAATTTCGAAATAACATTATAATTTATGATGTCTTAAAAACGAAATATTATTCAATTAAATATGGAAAAACAGGAGCGGTTAAATGCCTTTAAATCGTTTCTTCTATTTATAACTCAATATCTCAAAATTACGTAATATTTCGTATTTACGAAATGTGATCTAGCATTTACGTAATAATGCGAAAAATGTTTAGTCATTACGAAAATTATTTTGTAACTAAGGATCATAGGAAGTGCCATGGATGTCAGTTAAGGGCACCGTATATTTCTCAACACTATATTTACATGTTTTCTAATTATATAATCTGTGTCCGAAAAAAATTGTTATACTTTGAAGTCTAAGACCAAATTAAGAGTACTTAATTAATGTTAGAAAGTATTTGTAATTATCAAGAACGAATCATAATAGAAGAGTAACTGATTTAACCAAAATAATAATAATAATAAATTAGTCATTTTCTTTATAATGTATCACTAGTTCTGATAAAACATTGACCGGTCATATTCTCGGATTGGCGGAAGAACGTAAAAATGGAGCAGCTCCTGAACGGGACTTAAAACCGTTGAACTGTGCATGTGTGAGGTTACTTCTACATCTTACAATGTATGCTGCGTGTGTTGATGAAAATATAAAGGTAAATTTTGATATTTTTGACCCCTGGTTTGTAATGAGTAAGTTACATTGAATATTGTTGTAACACATGTAAAAGGATGCCTTTAACATTTTGTTCCTTCCTGTTTGCGTTATGACCTCTTTTAAAAAGTAAAATAAAGAAATATATGACTTATTGAATAAAATCCAGAATCATTTAAATGAACAACAGGCATTCTGTAGAGAGGAACCGTTCAAAGAAAGGGGCTAACAGTATATATATATTGTTAAAGGAGAATAATTATCAAAATAACGAATAAAGTCTGTAATGTACGAAATAGTTTGTTTATGAGTGATTGAATTTGCCAAACATACGTAGATACAATCTTATCTTACTTGACTTAATATTTTAGGATGTCACTGAAATTATTAAGGCGGATATCGACTCTGGTAAAACTGTAGATTTCCTCTTTAGTCACATAAAGAAAGATATTTGTGATATCCAGAGTGCACTGAAAAGTAGTCCGGACGACGTTCTGCTTTTTTGTCACTATTTTGTAGACTCTATAGTCAAACGAAATGGTAAGCATAAAGTTCAAGATAATAACCAATTGCAATTCTAACCAGACAAAGATTATGACGGTTATGTGCAATAGTCTATGTTAATGTTATTTTAACATAATGATTATCTTAATTTTAAATACACAATTAATGTAAATTTGTGGATACGATTAAATTTAATAACGAGGATTTTAAAGTGTAATGGAAAATACTAACAATAGCTTTATTGTCACTTTGAGCTTTGACATTATATAATACAAGTCTTATGAATCAAAGAGGCAGAACAAAATATGTCTTATTCATATAATTATATAATTATTGTGTATAAGTAGACTTACCATTTCTTTATATTTTATAAGAAAAGCCACAAATAGATGAAGAGTTTTCATACAATCATTGGTCAAATAAAGAAAATCGGCGACAATGGGAAAAGGAATTTGATGAAAAATATGTTAGACCGGTTGTACAGGTAAGTCCTAAATATATTTTCAGTAAATTTACCAAAAGGAAAATGAAACGCTGTGTATAAATATTCATCGGCTTTGTTAAAGATTATATTAATATCTGGGCTACTGTGTTCTCAACAAGGTAAAGCATGTAACGACCCTAGTCACGTAGTGCAAGCGTTCCGAGCAGAATAATTACGATTGTTTTTTTTTTTTATCATTCGATACTCTGTAGCACAATGTTTTCCATAGTTAAACTAAATCTTCTAATTTCCTTCTGACTGTCACAGCTAACAAAATGTCAGGGCCTTGTATTAATTCAATTTCAAAGCTATGAACAATGAAATTAACTAAACAATGATTTTAATTATACGTTTTCATGATCTTTTGTATTGCATCGTTTTCTTAGGCATCGTCGTTTTAGCGTAACGCAGAAGCAATCAAAGTTAATTCGGCTTAAAGGTGAAGGCACGGAAAAGACCACGATACTCAATGATAAAGTCCAAAACAATTTATATGCTTTTTTTCCCTAATATCAGTTCTGAGATTTAGAATAAGGGTAGTGCGTGTGAGCCAAACAACCGGCATTTATTTATAAATGATATGATCATATTTCGATGTAATTATAAACTTTTCGCTTTAAATATTACATCATAATACACAGAACAATAGTCTATAGGGTATGTTCGTAATATTATACCAATAATATTGCCATCAACATAAAGTAGAGGTGGTAACACTTGTATCATTCATGGCCATTTTAATTAAATCACATCGTTGTTTACAAGGTTACAAAATATAAACATCGTGTTTGAAGTACAGGTTATCCTTTGATTGCTCAGTCAACCTAAAATACCATTACATGACTCTTAATGGCATTATGAATGCGATAATTCATAAAAGGTAGAGAAAGTAAAGGAAAATTTTATTGTTAATACAAAGAACATTCCATAAAGACTTACTGCTCTGGACGGCTAAAACTGAATACCCGATGTGTGACGTTTAGACTAATAATCTATAAAAAGAAGAAAAAATTAGTGAGAAGCAAAGAATCCTTGAAGAAAGCAGAAAACGACAAAATTGAAAATGTTGCTGGCGCGGTATTGTATCGATTTAACTTGTATATGTCTCGCAAGTGTGACGTGTTTGCACGCAATCGTAACACCGTGACAAATATGCATTTTTTGAAATTTGCGGCGCATCAATCGCTTTATGTTCCAATAAGTTTAAAAATTATGGTTATTATCCTGTAAAATGTTCCATACTAATTCAAGAAATAAAAGTTTATATTAAATATGTAAATACCATAAATTCCCGCTAAACTATTAAACGCGTTTATTTTATTCGATTATATGAGAATGACAGGAGGACATTTTGAATTGCTCGATTTTGCTGACTTTGCATTGTCGTATTAGACAAATTCAAAGCAAAACATTCCCTGAGATGCAGTATCAGTTTTGTTCGTATAAGAATAAGAAAATGTTTATTATAAAGATGATTATAATTGTTCTATCAATTGATATATCATGAATGTGTAATGGCTTACAACATGCTATTACGCATGCATCTTATAGACAATAAACGACCTGATAAATGTAACTTTCCTAGTTTATACATTTGATACTTATCTTTCAAACTCATTTTCAACTCATTTCTGATATACATTCTGATATAAAGGAGATTAAGAAGACTTGAAACACAGCCACTAAATACAGGAAGGTGTTTTTATGTATTTTCTGGTTCTTTTTTTGTTTTTTTTGTTTTTGTTTGTTTGTTTTTTTTTCACACATAAAAGCAGTTGCAGAAGCAGACATCATATTAAACCTAAAACCTATATACATGCATATATAGTTTTTAATTTGACTTCGATGCAAAGCCCGGTGACGAGAGTTTTTTTTCCCTTGGGAATTTTTTAGTTATTTTTTCCAAAAAAGCTAAAAAGGGGTTATGAATCCAAAATCAAATTCCCCCAAAGGAAAGGGCAATTTTATTTTAAACCTGTGAAAAAAAAAATAAAAAAATTAAAAATTTATTATTATGAAACTCTTTAAAATTTAAAACACTGATAAAATTTAAGAGAAAGTTGTTTAAATAAAAAAGAAAAAAAAAAAAAAATGGAAAAAAAAGAAAAAACCCCAATTTTTTTTTCCGACCCCCCCCCTTTTTTAAAGCTAAAACGGTTTTTTTTATATTATTTTTACATCTAGGTTAAAGACAAAATTTTAAACAGTTTTTTAAATTTCCTAATTTTTGCTATTAAAATTCAGAAAAAAAGTCTTTTTAAAAAAATTTTTTCACCCTTTTCACTCCATTTAAAACCAAGGGGAAAAATGGGCTAAAACGTTTAAAAATTTCCGTGTGGGGTAAAGTTTTCATTTAAAGTAAAATGAGAAATTGTTAATATAAGCTTATAAAATGCAAATTTGTAATATTTTCCTAAGATAATTGTGTTTATTTCCAATAATTACCAAGTGAAATTTATAGTATTTTAAACATAAAGATAATGTGTGTATTTTGGTTGTTAAATCTCTTAAGCAAATATTCCTAGTTATTTTTGTTATAAAATAAAATACACATTCGTTTGCAACCTTTTAGTCTTTCAACCTATGTTCAGTGTATGCTCTATCTCTATTTTTAGGACTGTAATGCAATCATTGAACAATCGAACGAACTGTTGAAAGGTAAGTATTTTAATCAGTTAAGTGTTTGTTTTAGCAAACTTCTTTTCATTGCATCGGATTGAAATATGAATTCAAATCAATTGAAATAAGTGTTATGCATAAGTATCAATAAACAAGAGCTGTCAGTAGGACAGCAACGCTCGACTATTCTTAGTGCTTGATAGTAAAAAAAATGCTTGATACAGTTACCTCCTCCTGTTTACAGGTTGGGGTCATGATGGTGAACAAGTGTGCAAAGTTTCAAAGCCATATGTCAATGGACTTTGAAATATTTGAACTATTACAAAAACTTTAACATAAATTCTAAGTCGAAAAAGGGGCATAATTCTGTCAAAATGCTTGATAGAGTTACCTCCTCCTGTTTACAGGTTGGGGTCATGATGTTGAACAAGTGTGCAAAGTTTCAAAGCCATATGTCAATGGACTTTGAAAATATTTGAACTATTACAAAAACTTTAACATAAATTCTATGTCGAAAAAGGGGCATAATTCTGTCAAAATGCTTGATAGAGTTACCTCCTCCTGTTTACAGGTTGGGGTCATGATGGTGAACAAGTGTGCAAAGTTTCAAAGCCATATGTCAATGGACTTTGAAAATATTTGAACTATTACAAAAACTTTAACATAAATTCTAAGTCGAAAAAGGGGCATAATTCTGTCAAAATGCTTGATAGAGTTACCTCCTCCTGTTTACAGGTTGGGGTCATAATGGTGAACAAGTGTGCAAAGTTTCAAAGCCATATGTCTATGGACTTTGAAAATATTTGAGGTATTACAAAAACTTTAACGTAAATTCTAAGTCGAAAAGGGGCACAATTCTGTCAAAATGCTTGATAGAGTTACCTTCTCCTGTCTACAGGTTGGGGTCATGATGGTGAACAAGTGAGCAAAGTTTCAAAGCCATATGTCAATGGACTTTGAAAATATTTGAACTATTACAAAAACTTTAACATAAGTGGTTACGCCGACGCCGACGCGGACGCGGACGCCGACGCTCGGGTGACTGCAATAGCTCTACTTATTCTTATCGAATAGTCGAGCTAAAAAAATATAAATGCAACATAAACCTCCGTCATTCAGGATTGATGTTAAAATATACATTTTGCCACCCTGTAAAATTTTCAATTCAAGAACTTTAGGAACAATCATATATGTGCATTTATCCTCACGAGCGACAGTATTATATAAGCCATTATTGAAATGAATTATTTAAACTTCAAAGTCAAGCATAAATAAAGAATGCGAAGCAGTTCCTTTTTATTCCCTTAAAGTTGCATACAACAAGATTAGCAGGGAAAGCAAGCTTTGGGATAAAAAAGTATGATAAGTAAAAAGATTCAAGAGTCAACTAATAACTTACATGTGCGTTTAATAACTGATTTTGCAGTAGTAGTAAATCTTGCAGAAAGGGTGTTTTTTTGCATATGTTTGGTAGTTACGTGCATTGCACGTGTCGTTTGCATTGTGTTAATTAATTCTTTGTTCATTGCTCTGTTGTTTACTACAAAGAAATTTTCGGGTTATCCTTGAAAATGAGCATGCATCTGGAGTCATGCTGCTTTAAGATAAACGTTTGAGACTTTGATTCGAAAGCTCATTATTTTTCAGACAATAGTGAAATAGTAACCATGCTTAGCGACAGCAATGTCAACTCAGATGACAGTGGATCAGAGTACCTGTGCACCAATGCGATGTTTTGGATGTACAGAGTTCCAGTAACATTTACACATATGAAGCATGTCTTCCAGAGAATGAGTGATTCGGCGCAATCAAAACTGTCTTTGCTCAAGCGGTTTTATGAAGAGGTAACAGATATTCATATGTTTTTATATTACTTTGTAGACTTTTTGTCAACTCTATATACAATTCATAACAAAACAATGTGAACTGTTTACACTTTCTGATTATAGAATTAATGTTCGGAGATAAAGGAAATAGAAAAACTAGCGTAAACCATTATTGGTACATTGTATATGTTCGGGGTACAATCACATAAATAAAGTTTCTTAACAATGATGTTTGAAGAAAAACAAGTTTAAATAGAGACTAATACTTAGCACACGAAAGATAATTATGCTGAATAAACATAGCAATAGGCATTACTTTTCAAAAATTTTGAAATGACGTACTTGTTATTGTTGATTTATATACGTTTGCTTTACAATTCATATTTACTTTATTGTGACTGTGTGAAATACTCTTATTAATAGATTATTTGTGTATTAAAGGAGCATATCCTTAAAGCTATTCGCTTTATACCAAGCATTTTAAGACTCCAAAGAATACTTCTTCGGAAGTACAGCAGGAAATATTACAAAACTGACATTAAAGATATAACGATTGGAACATTAAAGCAAGGTAATTATCAAAGTATGGTTTCTTGAGGAACTCAGTTATTCTCTATAATCATTATATTTCTTACCACCATTCAATGTAGAGTGCCTAGCTATCATGAAAATATAAGATGTCGCAACAAGTGATCCATTTCGTGAAGATGAAACCAAAAATTATATTTTTGCTTTCACTTTGAAATAACACTTTGTTTTGGGTTTTGATTTGAATATTCCATCATGATTAACGTTTTAAAGGCACAATATATTATCAGACGCTGAAAATTACACTAAACAATATTTTGAAATGATAATATTATAATTCATTTTGAAATGATAACATCATAATTCATTACCTTATGTTTGCTGATTACTTTGCAATTTCAGTAGAACTTCTATGAGTCGAACTTCGATTAGTCGATTTTCTCGATGTGTCGAAGTAAAACGAAAGTCCCGGACTTTTCCCTTATATATTCCTTAAAAAAACCTATTTATGAGTCGAGATTTTATGTGTCGAGTTTTTCGATGTGTCGAAGTTTTTTCGTGGTCCGTATAGAATAAATCTAGTACAATTTACCATAAATAAGTCGAAGTTCTTCGGTTATTTTGACACCTTCGATCTCGAGACATTTTCACACCTTTTCTTGCCGCGAAGACGATTTCCGATCAACTTTAGTGACAGGTGTTAATTACACAGCCGAATGTTCAAACAGCCTTTGTATGCGTGTAAATGTGTGAAAAAATGCTTTAATCATTTCTATTTTAATTGCGTAGCGGTATTTGAAAGTAGATCTACATGTAAACAGTAAGAACTATCATTTGAGTACTTCCGTGACCCGGTGTCGCGTGATAATCACACGCGAAATATTTACTATAAGCTGGTTAAGTTATTGCCCTTTCGTATTGTTACGCCTTTTGTAACTTCATTGTATACGTCAACAGGGAGTCCGAATCATTAGCCTTGAAAAGTTACTTAACATGTCATATTTATCATTGTATAATGTAAAATATCAGATTAATGAATGAAAGAAAACATGAAGTAGGTTACGTAATAGATCTTATAAAAAAGGCTAGTCTCGGGTTGAAATTTTGTCATGAAATTCAGACCGATTCATGAGTCGAAGTCCCGATGTGTCGAAGTTTTTACGTAAGTCCCTCCAACTTCGACTTACCGAAGTTCTACTGTATTACCGTTACTGTTTGTAATGCATCACTATTTCAAAATAAATTTTTCAAGATCTAAACGCAAAGGAATACGTTGTGTATGACTTTGCTATAACACTGAATATTTTATATATAAATGGGCAGTGTCCACTTCCGTATATCCTTCTGGTGAAAACAAAGAATTGAGAATGGACACATGTGTTTTGACCATAAAATTATGTTTTATAACTTCTTTATTTTCTCTATGTTGTAGACTTACTCTTGAGCTATTAATGACTTATTCGGTCACTTGTATTTTTTAACTTATTTTATTTTTCATAACTCCTAGATAAATTGTTATATAAACTTGAGCATTGAGCATATATTTCCACTTTTATGAAGAAAGGTATAATACTTGGAAATAAAAGAAATATATATCATTTCTTTCCTAAAAATATAGACAAAGTAGCCGGTGATGATACTGAACAACTTTTAAATGATGTAACAGAAGCATGGAGTATTGCAAGACATGTCATAGCTGAACAAAAGCATGGTAAGTATTTAATTTCCTTATAAACTAGCATGCCTCCAGCTAAACCAAAATATTTCAAGAAAATCAAACTTGAGAAAACAGCACTGATTTTGTTAGAAAAAAATATCTAAATTTATATAATTTTAATCAATTATGTGCGTTTATAATAACTGAGTTTACCAGATTTCTACTGCGTGACAAATGCAGTAAGGACACATTTTGCATATTTTGACCTCTTGTTGATGTATTTCGTGGATTATTTTACTTTAAATTACCTTCCAAAATTTCCTGAAACAATGAGTAAGTATTAGAAGGTATGCTGCTTTAATTGTAAATCATTTTGTGTTTTTGTTGATTCTTAAAATTGATTTTAAATTAAAAGAACATTTTCCCTTCATTTTGTCATTTTGTGTATATTAAAACACTTATAGTGATAATAAAGGAATCATTTTATAACTAGAAATCACAGGACAAAGTTGTTAAAATGCTTATATTAATTGTGCTCCTATGTGCCTATTAGGGAAAGCCATATTAGAGAAAAGACATATTCAACTTAATTTCTAAAGATTTTAACGTACAAAATAATCATTTAACCTTTTTGTACAACACAGTCTGTTTAACTGAATATGGAAGGGTGTTTGTACCTAAAGAACTTTGTGATGAACCTTTTACTGAAGCCAGTCATATTGAGGTCTTGTTACCAAACACTGATGATAGCGGAATATGCTCATTTGCTATGCTTGAGATTTTAATGAAAATGCAAAACGAATTTCTAGAAGAATATCGTCAAGTATGTCAAAGGTAAGATCATTTAAAATGAATGACTACTTTCGTTAGACAGTATCGAACATACACTAATATTTATACTAAATAATGAAGACCTTTTAAATCTTTGTTCAATATTATTTTATACGCCCGTTTGAAAACCTGATGACCGTCGTAATACGGAAACACCCATGGCGAAGGGTTGCATTCAATTTTACCGGGATTCCCCTATCATATCTTTTTACATGCATATTCAAATTTAATACCACTTGATACAACATTTCTTGAGCAAATGAGTAAGCGTCTTAACAATGTCACAAAAAGAGGTCAGATAGATATGATATGAAAATGTGTGTACCTACCATAAAGGAGTGTGTACCTACCATTTATAAGATTAGTCTTGATGTCACAAATAATCGAAATCATGAACAAAAAGAGAAAACTTATCAAAAAGCATGACGACTAACAAAACGACATGTGACGGCACCATGCCGAGAACTATTAAAATGACCGATAAAGTAAGAGAAACGGGGAAAATACAATAAAACTGAAACGGGAATTTCAGGGACAAGGGTAAGGTAAAAGGAAATGTAAAATGTCATTATAAAGGTCACCAGATAGGATGAAATGTGAAGATTTTTCCGGGACCCACCCTAAATTAGGTTCTTTTAGCGTAAGATATCTTTAGCTTATGAAGCTGTTATCTGATTCATTTTTTACGTTTTTGTGGCTCATTACAATATTTCTGTATATGTGTGTGTGTGTGTGTGTGTGTGTGTGTGTGTGTGTGTGTGTGTGTGCGTGTGTGTTTGTGTGTGCGTGCGTACGTGCGTGTGTGTGTTTTCAATTATCTCCTTTATATTTTATAAAAACTTTTAAACTTATAAATAACTTTTTATTGTATACCTGGGAATAACTTTTACGCCCCTTTTATTCAAAGTCTTGTTTTCCTTCAGACGGTTTCTTATTACCATTATATCAAGTGGTGCTTTTTAGGACCTGAACTAATGACCAATGTAAGGTAAAGTTTTGCCTGAGCAGGCTCCTGTTGCCAAGGTTAAAGTCATTTGCAAAAATGAATCATTAATGCCTCATTTATAAAGTGATGTAAATGCTTACCGCGGTGACAATGCTACGGGAATAACATGTGACAAGGGATATTTGTTTGAAAGATTTATAAGAAATTCTAACATAAATATGTTTTATGTATGTGACAGGAAAGGCGCGGAAGTACATATGTCTGCTGTTTGCCCGAAGGAAATCACGTCAGCTCATTTGATCAGCTTCGATCTTCTTCAAGATATACAACCGCTGGTCCTGGCAAACTGCTCTTTCAATGTACGGAACTCAAACATAGATTATGATTTCGACAACTTTGAAAAGCAACTGATAGATCGTTTTGTATCTACTAAGTCAGTTATACAAATCACACCTATGCAGGTATAACTACCTTAATTTACATTTAGAACGGTTTGCGTTCATTGAACGCCGCCTTTTCTTGTTGATCTTGTTTATCATGTTTTACGTAGTACCGAACACTTCAGTCACTTCGGTCCAACATTGGTCTGAATTATGAGAACTTGCAACCCACGAGAACAACTATTCAATACAAGTGTCAGCTATATGATTATCAATTTTGGTGTCGCGATTGACAGTCAGTAGAAAATAATATTTACCTCGATAATTATCGAACACACTACGTTATAAAGTCAAAATAATGGCCCCAAAATTAACCGTGGACTAGTATTATAAGCTAAGGAACTAATATTTCATGACTTTACAGTATAAAAAGTTCTAGCCGACCAATAAAAAACAACGTTAAAACAAATATTACGTGTAATTTACAGATTCGGACAGCGTGTTGTGTCTGTCAAAGGTACAAAAATAAACTTATTAAAACGTTTTACTACATTTTTTCTTGCGTACACCTGCTTTAAAATTAAATGGAATGCCGAAAATATAAATACGACTTCTGTCGATTTCGGCGGCATATTTAGGCTTGTTTGCGTTTAAAAAAGAAAACGGGCAACATAGAAAATTAACTAAAAGAAACAATTGTGCTGATGATTAAATGAAACAGGTATTGTATTCCGCTGAATATCAAAATAAATGGACCCTGCTAATGTCATATTCATCCAGGCAAGTTCTGTTATCTATAGACTTGGATATGTACCTCATCTTTATACAAAAATTGTAAAATACATGTATTTTCTACAATAGCGTCAAATACTCGACTATTTAAGTATATTAGTTAAGATGTTATATAAAAAGGGACTTATTATTGTTTTTTAATAATATCAGGTGCTAAATCATCACGAATGATAATTACTTAACAAGTATATATGTTATTTATTTCATTCAAATGTTGTTTGTCTATAAATATTAAGTGTTGTATAACCTTAGCCAAAACTTGAAACATATATGTTTATGTAAATCACTCACCGGAAAGTAAATGATTTTTTACAGTATAGAAAAATGACAAAATGCGTGGACGGTAGCTTGCAAGTACCACTACCGTCCATGATCAGACTCAATAAAATCGAGCTGTTACATTTTCAATTTCTCCGTAATGAGATTCTGTTTTTTACTACAATACACTAACCCAACAACAAAAAAAGTCGCGGAAATAGAATTTATGTAAAAATAATGACGTTACTCTTTCTAAAATATGTTAAATTTAATTACCGGATGACAGATAATATGTCGTTTTGAATAAGGGGTATGGTCGGATGCATCATCTTCATTGTAAAGTAGTGCATATTCAAATTAAGATTTTTGTTAAATTTTAGATTGATGAGATGATTTACAGGGCTGATTTCTCCGTCTCGGATTATATGATGATGCTTGAAAAACATATCCATCAGGTACAACTTTCTCAATCTTATATTATCAGACTGTATCAATCCTTAGATTAAAATTATGAAAATATACATCGTATTAATTTGTTGTCATTTTTCATGGCCTGTTCTTCTAAACATTTGAGAAAAAGGTAAAATGTAACAAATGTAAAAGTAAAATGTATTAAAAGGCTGATATGGTTAGATTTAACTACAATGTTATCCTGGAAACGGAAAGTTCACTTTTATACATTAATTCAAACTGCATATTTATCAAAATACTGGAGAAATAAACGGGTAAAATATATTTAACCCTACTGACTCAGATTTGTGGATTCCTTTGTGTTCATTATCGTTAAGGGTTCAAAGGAGGGAGGCTCTTTTTGTGTCCATTGATCATATTTGTTTCAATTTTGATAATTGATTAGTGTTTGTGTAAGAAATGCCGACCTCATTCATGTCATTGGATGTTTTACAAATCTGTCATGACTTAATTTAACAAAAACAAAAAACAAACAAATAAAGGAAAAAAACACACAAAAACAGTCCGGTGAGATAAACTATTTCATACAAAAAAATGTTTACATTTCAGAAACCTTTGACACCTGTAATGAGGAACCAGATTTCCTGTGACGTCAGAGATATTCCAGATATTTGTCAAATATTGTCACATCTGGATATTACTATAAGAGTATTGAGCGTGACTGATGCGGACCCGGAATCCATGCTGTATAACTACATGATTGATAAACTGAAAATGAACAGAGGAGTGCTTACAACAAAGGTATAAACAAAGGGATTGAACATGACTGGTTAATTTCTATTTAAAATACTTTCAAGTAATAGGAAATGGAAATATTAAGTTTCATCGTTTATTTACAGCAATTTAACCGAACGTCTCGGAACAAAAATAAAAGTTGAATGTTTGTTTTAAACTAGTATAATTGGGGCTTGTAGTATTATGTAATTACTTAACTTAACATGCGTTGTGTGTTTTTTGTTCAACACTGACTGAAAGAAAGGGCACGCTGTATGCAATGTTTATATTTGTTGCTGTTGTTGCTGTTTTTGTTAAATGTTTGGTTGAAATGTATCCTTGCGATGATATGGCAAAACATTGCATATTGCAACAAACTCCTTTCAATTGATGTGCTGTGACGAACATTTCACTAGCAAAGTATTCATCTATTACACGTAGGTGATACACAAAAATCGTGTTGTTGCACATCTTGCTCGTGCTTATCACAACAATTTTAATTTTATAATGCATCCTTTCGAAGAGGGGGTTTTGTATTGCAAATATCTATCAAATTTTCGTTCAGTCAGTCGTGAGACAACTTTGTTTCCACTCTAAAACATTTGACTGATACCCATCAAACGTCATAGATAGTCACTCTTATTACGTACGAGATCCCTAATTCTTCATACACAAATGTTTATTGGTCAACATCACAATGATTTGAATATTAACACTACTTTCGCTTATTAACTTATGGACAATGGTATCAAAATACTTCCACATTTTAAAAGATGGTCATCCTGATTAAGTTGAAATCTTTTTTTTTTGGCATAGCAGTCTGAAGACCTATGTTACAGTTACCTTGACGTTTAAACAGTTACTGCTCAATAACAAGAGACCTATCTGACATAAGCCTTTAAACTTTAGAGAAGTATTACCCTTATCGAGTAGAAAAACTATTGCATTTTGCATCAGTGCTTGATAATGTAGCTTACATTTACCTTGACTGTATCAAAAATCTATTTTACACAATTACTTGAGAAAGAATTATCACCCTCAATGAGAAGAAAAACATCTTTGTAATATGGACCGTGGTATAAAGTAACGGTTTAAAGCAACCCTCATTTTGAAAACAACAACATCGGGAGCAACAGAATAAATGACAATAAATGAATTAAGTGTGTAATATATATATAACATTATGGGTTTTTTCTATACATAATGAAATAAAGAAGTGATATAGAAACTGAATATGACTTTATTTGAGAAGTGCTGATCATTGTAAAATTATTCATTTACTTTTTCTTTTGTGTATAATTCAAAGTTTTAAATTGCATGGTTTAAGCAAACTACATGGATACAGCCAGAGTCAAAGAAAATTGTAAAATCATTTGGAAATCTTATTATAACATAGTCATTTTTATGCATTCATGAAACTAATTTTGACTAAACATTAAAGGTAAAAGGAAGGTGACACCTGTGTCACCTTTTTATTATCATCTTCCGTTTTCATTGCAGATCCGTCAATTATGCAAACTTAATCACGTGCAATCATTGTGGATGACATTGTCGATTCAAAAAGCAGTTATCATGTTAACTCACGGAAAAGCAACAGATGTATGTAAATAGTACTTTTGCATGTTACAAGATATAATATCTAAAAGACAGTAATTTCATGAAACCCGATCTGAAAGTTGTGCAAGCAAAAAATATTTCTTGTGAAATTCAAAATGTTACATAGCTTCCGTCAATAGTGAATTATCAGATAGAAAAAAGTAAATTGTGAATTAATTAAACAAATATGCACATTAGGTTCCGTCAATAGTGAATTATCAGAGAAAAAGGTAAATTATGGATGAATGAAACAAATATGCACATTAGGGCAAAAAAAAGCTGCTAAAATACATTTTTCATTTTTTACAACAGGATATATTTGACACAATTCAAGATCCATATCACGAAAGATTACCCGCAGAACATGTGGAACAGTTTAGAGCTTTTCTTAAAAGGCAGTCCAATGAAAGACAATATGCATTGCTTGACGTTCTATTTGAGTACATAACATTGCGAGTGGCGAGGAAACAAAATGAAGAAGATGAGGATTACCAAGATCAAAGTGCATATCCGTAAGTAATTGATATGACGATAAGGTGTTGGAAGTTTCAAATTCATTCATAGTTGGGGTCTAGATAAAAAAATGCATTCAATTTTTCATTCATACTGCTATTTAGCCTACTGAATAAAGAAAAATGAAATTATCCGTTTTGGTTAAAAAAAGGTTTTATGAAGTAATTTGGTTATTTCAATGACACTGTTAAAAAAACTAAAATAGACCATAACTGTTCAAATGCGTTGCTAACATCTTTCGTCAAGCAACGAGCATATTTCGTTCCATGCGCGATGGAAGAGACTGATAGCACAAAAATGATGTTAATTCGTACAGAAAGAGGAAAGTTTTTAAAAAGAAAAAAAATCTACTTCTGCTGTATTGTGATTTTTCTTCAGCATGAAACGATAAATGAGAAAATAGATTTTGTATTGATTGAAAATTGCATAACACCACAGTCTTTAATAACTAACTTATTATTTGTCTTTTGTACATGCCAAAGTCAATATTTGCTGTTATTAAATGATAACGAAATGTATGTTAATTATGTGAGAGAAAGCTTGTGTTTTGTGCATGTTAATATATAGATGGAACGGGCTCGTCAGTAACAATCCTCCTGTTTGTTGAGAAACGGACAGTGTTGCAACCCTGAAAATATCGGTAAACTTTTACAATTGCATGTTTAAATGGTGAATACTGCTTATGCCGATCCTAGGTGTCGTGGACGGTAGTTTGCACTTGGCAGTACTGTATATCCGGCCGTTTGTTTGTTATATGTTGAATTATTAGTGTAAATAAATACATTTTATTTATTTAATATTATACTTATATCGATACTAGATTTGAAACATTTGAACGTGTATTTTAATATAATTGTTCTTTTGATGATAAAGAAATGTTGTTCTTAAATATATAATATATGCATTTTTACATAAGTGCGTAGAAAATGTCAAAATTAATACACGACATTTCTCTTTTGCGGTAGAAAGGGTGGGGTCAAGTGCATTTCTAAAAGTCTTTCAAACTTTAACACAAATTACTCTCTATTAGTTTACATTGCTGCAAATTGAAATAACTATTCTTATGATCCATTACGTCCATGTCCGATAAATTTTCCAGAATGTTTATCCTCCTTTTATTTCCCTTTGTTGATGATTTCTATGGTGTATTTTCGTTGAAATTAAACTGGTGTTAGACTGTTTTTAATATTCCTAGGATGAAAGTATTAAAGTTTTAAATTACACTAATGAAACTAAAGGAGTTACTGTCATACTGGATGAATAAGGTGTTTATGTAGTAAGGTTTAGGTCAGAAATTAGAAAAAAAGACTAGTTGTATCTTGTTAATATAAAATTTAAGGAAAATGGTCATATGAAATATGCACTTTAAGATTTATATGCTAAATTAGTTTGTTTATTGCCAATATGTTTAGCACAACTGTGTTTATTGCCAATATGTTTAGCACAACTGAGCAGACACTTTTCTTCAAAGGAATAAAGAAGTCTGCTCCATGAAAAATAATGACCGGCCCCAGGTAGGCCATCCTTAAAAGGTCCTGAATATGACATGGGTTTAGAAAAACATCTTTTACATAAGTCTTGGAAAAAATTATTTCGGTTTTGCTTATTATGGTGTTTAAGCCAAACGTTTGAAACATCATGGATATAATGCCAAAATGGTTACATCCTAAAGTCACACCTTTAAAATACTAAATATGAATATAAGTGTTTTATTTGTTTTTGTCTGAAACTAAAATGCAAGCAGCTTAAATATTTGTCATGAAACATAGGCTTAAATATATCTACAAGTATTATTTTTAACTTAAATGACCAAGACTTTCTTTGTGATGTCTTTCACATAGAAAAAACTACATGTAATGGGCATGTTCATTGTTCTATAAAAGTTGCATAACAATGTATCTTGGACCCAGTTATTTTGACCATTTTGTCTACTATGCTTTCGTTTTCACTTTGAAGAGCGATATTTACCAACGCGTGCTCGATATTTTATTGATACTGTAACAGTGTTAGATAGGGTAGTATTAGAAATGGTATACCGGTAATTATAACGTCGTTGATGATGCTACAGTGATTAGATGAGTATTGCAGTGGCCATAGCCAATGACCTGTGACAGTCAACATCAAAAGTTTAACTGTCTGATCTTTATTAAACGTTCAGCCTGACACGATGAGTGCACGTATGTGCTGCAAAATTCATAACGATTTTCAATTGATTGCTGATATCGTTCGTTCAAGCATCGATTAGTAAAGGAAATGATAATGGCAACGATATTCTGCAACCGATAACACATATAATTTACTATAGATTGACAGCCACAAAGCTATATTTATACTGCCTCAAAACGATATACAGATCATAAACATACTTTCATTGTAAACGACTTAAGTAACAAAAATGGAATAAAACGAATATTCAAACATAGTGGTTGCACAAACATTATCCTGTGCCAGGAACAAACGATGTCCGCGTATTTGTAAAAAGTACTTAAAACAAAGCCATTTTAAAATATGTGTCATCAAAATATAAATATTTATCTGCGGTTAACAAAAATAATGTAGTAAGCAACGTTTTTCTCCCATCTATGTATGGATGCCATTTTTTAATTTTTAAAGACAAAAGATCTTTAATAATCAAGTTCTAAAACATACTAAATACTAATTATCTTAGATGGTCTGTAGCATTTCCGTTTTCCTTATATTTTATTCAAATACAAAATGACCTTACTTATCCGTACCTAGTCATAAATAATAATTATCCAGTACATAATGACTTTTGTCATAGAACGAATGATTTCACAGGAACGCGTTTTTTTTGTTTTTATGTTGTATTTTCTTTCTTGGTTTTGTTGTTTTTGTTGTTGTTTCTAGTCTGTATTACAATATGTTATGTTTGATTTGTTGAACAGTTTTCTTATGTCACATTTTTTTAAATTCTTTAGGATCAAGGACTGTGTTTATGAATATGCTAGCGAAATTGGTAGAGAGGAGGAACTTGAATTTGTGAAGTACCAAGGTGACGGATATGACTTTCCTGATGGAATACTTCGCAAGCATTGCCTTTTTGCATGGGCGTTCGTCGCTGAAAACATCACAAAAAGTAAAACAGTATAAAGGTGTTAAGGGTAATGTGACACATAACTATGTGCTAACATATAAGTTACATTGATGTTTTCATGTGAATCTTGTCTTCGGCTGCAAAGTATGTGTAAACTTCAAGTGTTTACTAATTTACTTTTTATCTTTGCAAATAAACTATTGTTCATTTAGTAATACCATTTCCAATTGATATTGATCATTCAAATATAGATATGCATTCGTTTTGGCAGATATTTGTTGATAAAGTGTTTTTCTAAACTTGTTTTTATATAATGCTTCAGACATGTATATATATTTGTGTATTTTACTTATACGTGACAATGGTCTTAACTATTAAATGAAGTTATAGCTATATTGTGTTAGAAATTTTATGGAAGATAAGTGAATTGCAAATATGATAAATAATTGAGCAGGTCATTTGGACCCTCAAGAGGTGAAAGCATGATTTTAAAAAAAATTGTGTTTGATACTTTTCTTGTGCCATAAATGTCGACGTTTGTTCCTAGTTGCTTCAATGCAAAAGCGGTTTCGCTTTCAATCATATTTTAATTGCATGCTTTTATGAATATTTGTACCCATTCTTTGTTGTTTTATAAAAATGTTATGAGCAACTTGTTGGTATTCGATGTAGAAAAATGTCACTTTGTTAAATTGAAAACAATTGCTTAGAAATTAGCAATGAGTGATACAAAAAGGAATCAAACATAATGGCGGGATGTTCACTGTAACATATTTTAACTTTTACTGTTATAGAAAGTAATCACGAATACAAAAATGTATGGTTAAACGTTTTGAAAAGGATATGTGAATTACCAATGTCGTAATCTCTTTTTTTATATGTTTTGTTTCTTTATATTTTCATTGGAAACACTTACCTTTTTATTAATGATATATTATATACTTTGACTCAATATGGATATTTTGATACTTTGTTTTGGTAATCTTCATAATAATATCTCATAACACATGTATATGAAATTAAAGCTGTTTATGTCTGTTTCATGTTATTTTTTTTCTTAAAAATGCTGCTTTAAAACATGTAAATGTACGTATTTGAATATGAATATTTGCGTTTTTCTTCCTTAGACTAAACACATAAATATGTTGACAGTTCGCGTGTTTTGAAAATAAGTACCATTCAAGAAAGCTTTGCTTGATAAACTGTCAAATTGTTATCATGCTTTCAAAATATTTTAATGGTTATGTCTTTGTTTAGGAAGTATATGAGGGGATGAAAGGTATGTTATTGTTTAAATAATGCTTAGTGTGTTTGGTTTTTTTTTGCTCTGATAAATGAGACGTGCGCATTAGAAATATAATGCATTTTCTTGTGTAAAGTTTTGAAGAAGAATAATGTTTTGGAAGTTTTTTTTGTTTTTGTTTGTTAGATATTTTTGTTAGTTTAGTTTATTTTTCATGTATTGAATTGTATTACTTTACCATTTTTGTTGATATATTTATTATTGCTATGTTTTTGACAGTCATTTTTCTTTTCTTTGTTTTATAAGTGTGTATTGTTTCAGAATTTTCGGGAGGGTCTTTATTGTTTCTCCAACTTTTGTGTTTGTTGCTTTTTTAACTGTTGCCTTTATTTTAAATTTGTCAAGCCATTTTAAATATGGTTATTGATAATTTCATATCTAATAAAATGATTGGAATGAGACATTTTATTGTGTTATTTTTGTATTTTATGTGGACTTTGAGAAGATTCATTTAACCCATTATCTAAATGTTTAGTTTATGTTATATAATCTTATTTTTTTTAAAAGATTTTAGAATTGTGTACGTATAGTTTTTTTGTTCTGTTTTCTTTTTCAATGAAATGAATGCCATATGAACATCGCGGGAAAAACGTATTTTATTTTATTTTTCGACTTCATATTGTAAAAAAATTAGTAATTTCGTAATAATGTCTGTTCAGGAAAATAATTTGTTTGAAATAGCGTGAATATGTTTAAGATTGTGTTAAAAATAAGCATCAGTTACTGAATTTAGACCTCGAATAAGTTTATGTTTTCTTGATCAGTCTAGAGTGTTCTGTATATTTAAAATGAAAAAGATATCCAAGATTAAAATATTGAAGAAATATAGATGGTTATATAATTACATACAAAATACGTTTCTGCGAAATGCAGAACATAAATATCAGTTAAGTTTAAATTTCATACCGGATAAACTGTTCAATGTTTTACACTATATTTTTTGTTGTATATATTTCACATTATTTTTAAGGAAAGTAGCATGATTATATTAATGTTCATTGATTTGATAAGTCGTAAATGTCGGAGGCTGTATGATGATAAGGCCGAATGAGAATTGGCCTTACATGATGGATAAACAACAAACTTATCATAATGAACATTTCTTTGACTTTTGTTAACCTTATTAGATTTTATGTTTCATGTATTTTATTAGCTTTTTGCTTTATGTGTACGTTAAATCATGTTGAAAAGGATATGTGAATTATCAAAGTCGTATTCTATTTTTGTTCATGTTTTGTTCTTTTATATTTTCATTGGAAAGACTTACCTTTTTATATGTTATATACTTTGATTAAATATGCATATTAACTGTCTATCAGTAGATATTATACATGTATTTTATTTTGGTACTCTTCATAATAATATCTCATATCCCATGCAAATGAAATTTAAGTTGTGTATGTTTCCTTTTTTGTTATATTTCTTGAAAATGCTGCTTTAAAATGTGTGTATTTGTATTCGAATTTTGCGTTTCTCTTCCTGAGACAAAAACATAAGTATGTTGACACTTCGCAGGTTTTTGAAAATAAGTAACATTCAAGAAATTATACAAAGCTTTGCTGGATAAACATTCAAAATTGTTTATTGGTTATATCTACTGTTAAGGAAGCTTATGTTGGGATGAATGGTATACATTTGTTAAAATAATGCTGAGTTTCTTGTCTTTATTCATTGAAATATAATGCATTTTAATGTGTAACTTTTTTGCGAAGTATAGGTATGTTTGTAAGTTGATTTCGTGCTAGTTGAGTTGATTTTTCATGTATATAATTTTGTTAGTTTAGTTCTTATTTCTTTTTGTTACCATATTTCTTATTGCTATTTGAAAGGCAATTTCACTTTCTTAGTTTTATGAGTGTGTATTGTATTAGAATTTTCGGGAGTGTCTTTATTCTTTATCCATTTTTTTTGGCTTTTTTCAACTGTTGCCTTTATTCAATTTTTGATATGGTAATTGATAATTTCATATCTTATTAAATGATTGAAATGAGAAAGTTTATTTTTGTTATTTTGTATTTTTTGTGGACTTTTACTAGATTCAATTAACACATTATCTGAATGTGATTTTATGTTATATAATCTTAATTGTTTAAATTGTTTTTATGATACATATTTTAGATTGATGTACGTATTGTCTTTTTTCAGTGTGATCAGATGAAATCCACGTGAACATTTGTGCTACGAAGGCACAGAAATTGCGTATTGTATTTGATTTTTCGTTTTCAAATTCTGAAAAATAAGTAATTTCCTTATCATGTCTGGAAAGTTACATAATAATTTCAATGTTCATTGATAAGTCGTAAATTTCGAAGACTTATGATGATAAGGCCGAATGAGAATTGGCTTTACATGATGGATGAACAACAATCGTATCTTGGTTTATACAAAATTTATTTTAGTTCGATTGTGTAGGAAGCTATGAGCTTATAGACACACTTTCGAATCCGTTCCTGGAACCGACCAGTACTGAGCAATGAGTGTAAAGTTTTTGCTCACGGAAACAACGACTTGCCCCTGGCGGGGTTTGAACCCATGCGACTAGCGATCATTAGATTGCTAGTCCGACGCGTTTACCACTTGGCCATGTCGCCACTTAATCGTATCTTATTAAACGTTTCTTTGATTTTGTTTTATTTTATTAGTTGTTTTTGTTTTGTTTTATGTAGTCTCGATATTTACATAGTATATAAATCAAATTGCCATGCATTCGTTAATGTTTTAATATTTAATTATATGTAATATCATTTTGAAAAGGAAAATGTAAATAATAGACAGGAGACAGGTGTAAGGCTTTTTAAAACCAACAGTAGTGTAACAAAAAGGACAAATATAATTATTAACAAAATGAAGGAAAATAAATGAAGAGAAAGATAGTGCTTTGTATTAAATGTTATTATTTTTAGAAACTACAAAATTATTATGAACATATTGAAGCTTATACTCTGCATGCAATATATTTTTCAAAAAAAAATGCAAATTAATAAAGTTGTGTCTTTGTCTCTCTTTTTATTAAAATGTCTTTTTATTTTTATAATTTTACTTTGGAAAATGATTTATTTAATTTATATTCATCATTATCAGTCATTTTTACGGAAGGACTTTATAGTTTTTATATATTTTGTTATTATACATGCCCAATGTGTATGTAGCTGAATATGTGTATCATGTATCATGTATGTTTTGAAATAAGCTAAACTGGGTATTTAAACTAATAAGTAATTATCAGTCCATCATTTTAGATCAAGGAAATATTCATTTCTCAAATGTAAAGATATTTATCTTAAAGTGTTTGTTTAATATTCACATCTGTTTTAGAGCGGTTAAGGTCTTTGACTTCAAAACACTTGTTCGTTGAATTTCCCGCTAGAGCTCTTGATTCTTTCATTTGAGGAAGCTATCAACGTCGATGTCTCTACTCATTCCCCACTCGAATCTAAAGTAATGTGCGAAAGGGCACCTGAGGTCTTCCGCAAACAAAAGGGAATGACCACTAATGATCTTTTGGCGAGACGTACACCCCAACCTAACTTTATGCACTATATATATATAATCTTACTATGCTTTTAAAAAACTTGATAAGGATTGTTAATTGATGAACGTCTTTGATTAATTAGAAGAAAGAAATGTTTTGTGACGATTGCAATGTAACAGTACTTAGATACCATTTTCTTATTTTTGATATCATATATTTGAAATGTTACTAACATTATGTTGTTATATTTAACAATTTGAATTTGTCGTATCGAATGTATCTTTGATTTAGCTTTTTCATTGGTGGTAGTGTTTAAACGGATTCGAATTCTTTGTAAAAAGAAAATAGAAAATACAGTTTTTCTATATTTTTGTCTATATTTTTGTCAATTTGATCCATACATGTATTTCTGTTTTATTTTTTTTCTGTTTTTCAAGCTTTATATCATATCACAAGGAATATTCTTAATGATCTTTATTCACTATAATTTTAGACTGAATGGGAGAGTCTTTTTCAATTACTATCTATGAATATTGTATAGTCACTTTTGTGGAGTGGTAACATATTTTCATTTCACTGGCGAGTATGATACTATTTTATTTAACGAGTTCAATCAATTAAGTATTAATCCTACACACAAATGTATTATTTTTATCACATACCGTAAATAAAGACTGTTTAAAGTGCAAAGGAATCATTATTCATTAACACGCATGTAATGTAATGCCTACATTTAGCGTGTCTTTACACTATGATTGTATAACGCAAATGACGGCACGTCAAAATATATCAACGACCATGCAATATCAATTTTACGCAGTCGCAAAATCGGATCGGGTATGTGATAAATATATACATGTACATGTATACTCGTATATAGTGTTGCCATACGTTCAAACATGATAAGGATTGTTAATTAATGTACGTCTTTGATTGATTTCAGGACAGAATTTTTTGAAGGCAATTGCTATATAGTAGTTCTAACGTATCATTCTCTTATTTTTGATGTCAATATTTGTCATGTTACTATCATCATGTCTTTACATTTAACAATTCTGAATTGTCGTATGGTATTTATCTTTGAATTTGCGTTTTCGTTGGTGGTGGTGTTTAAATGGATAGGAATGTGAAACCATAAATTATTTGTACACTTATATGAAAATACAGTTTGTCTATGTTTTATCAATTTGATTAATATTTCTGTTATATTCCATGCTGTTTTTTCAAGCTTGATATCTTTTTTTTTCAAAGAGAATATTCTTATTGACCTTTATTCTGTATCATTTTAGACTGTATGAGAGAGTCTTTAACAGTGCTGTTGGTTTGATTAATTACTAGTTAGTTATTTTCTTTTTAAAAGAAACATTTTTGAATACATAATGATTTTTATAAAAAGGTATGAATAATAGGACGGAAGTTTGACATGTAAGCTTAAGTAAACTGACTTACATGTAAATTTGATTCGTTATTTATGATATGAAGGTTTCTAATTCTGCTTATAAAGAGAAGTGTTAAAAGTGGTAATGTCGATTTTATTCTTTTACACCTTTCTCACTTTCATTCATTGTTAAATGGAATATACATGTATATGTATTACTCGCAAATTTGAAAACATATATCGATTACAGATATACTAGTTGAAATAGCCTTTAAATGATCAACTTTATATCATTGAGCGTTGTTAAAATGTCATCTTAAGTTGGCATTTTAAAGCTCTTTGAATAACACATAAAGCTTTATCCCTCAAATTATTCAAACGAGGAAGTACCGCATGTATATTTCATTCCATGGCAAGATAATTGCCATTAATTATATATCATAACAATGATTGATGCTTACTTTTCATGTGTGTTTTTAGTCTATAATAAAGTGTGTGAGTGCAACAAGTGTTCTGTTCTGATGAATCCGTAGAAATTCCGAGTTTTACATTATCTTGTTTGTTAAACGTTTTTCTGACTCCTTTTTAATTATTTGCATATAGGTCAGCTTGTAAATCAGTATGATTACTTAAGAGTTTCAAAGTCCACGTGATGAGCTAAAGTTTTAAACGTTTTAAATTGAAGTATGTTATTTTGAAATTTCAATGACAAGCATTCTGTAGTATTTACGACAGAGGAACGTGTGCATGCTTAAAGGCTAAGCTTGTGGAAACAAAAGCACATGATAGAGCATCCTTGCAATCAGTCGAGAGCCTTTTTGTGGCGATTTACTCTGACTAACTGGAGTACAAGGTTCTAGCCACCGAATGGCAAACCGTGTGTCGAGACTAAGACCACTATATCTAGAAACTACGAGACCGCTTTCGAGTAGCAGCAGATAATGCTGCTGTTATCCTTTAAACTAACAAAAACCAGTTTCCGACCGACCGTGCAGAATCGTTTAGCCGTGAACGGTTGCAAGGGCGTCGCTCATACTCCACCCCCGCCAAGCCATACTGCTTAGGAGTGGGGGTATTAGTCTGTTTCAATCGACAGCTCTTATTTAATCTAAAAACGATTTCAAAAAGAATAAATAATTGTTGTTCAGGCATTATTTAGTAACCCACTTCACTTGAATACTTAGGTATACCAAATGCAAACTAACCAACAAAGAAATTAAAAAACAGTTTTGTATCGGTATTGATTTTCTAATCTTGAAACTATATGAGGTCATGGCTTTACGAGGCTTTTTGTTGAATACTTTAAAGAGGACTTGAAAAAGGCGACATATAGGAGTTACTTTTGTCGGCCGCGTCGTTGTCGGCGTCGTTGTCGGCGTCCCCATAGGCTTGTCCGGAGCATAAGTTAGTCATTATAAGTCGGACTGACTTCAAACTTGGTAAGCACTCTTCTTATAATGACCCAAAGTGCAGTGCACAAGAACCGGTACTCTGCACTTCTTAATTTTTGAGTTATTGCCCTTTGTTAATTTTCGTCATTTTTTTGTCCGGGCCATTTCTCCTAATGTATAAAAGCTATGGACTTGAAACTTCATAGGATGATAGACTTCATTAAGAAGAAGTGCAGTGCCTAAGAACCGGTGCTCTGCACTTCTTTTTTTCTTAAGTTTATTGCCCTTTGTTAATTTTCATACTTTATTTTTGTCCAAGGCCATTAGTATATAGGCTATGGACTTGAAAATTCATAGGATGATAAATCTCATTAAGAAGAAGTGCAATGCACAAGAATCGGTGCTCTGCATTTCTTATTTTTTGAGTTATTGCCCTTTGTTAATTTTCATACTTTATTTTTGTCCAGGCCATTTCTGCTAAAGTATATAAGCTATAGACTTGAATATTCATAGGATGATAGATCTTATTGATAAGAAGTGCAGTGCACAGATACTGCTGCTCTGCATTTCTCATTGTTTGAGTTATTGCCCTTTGTTAATTTTCATATTTCATTTTTGTCCTGGCCATTTCTCCTAAATTATATTGATCACAAGGCGACACATCCGACTCGCGGAGTTCTAGTTGTTATTCACAATATTGTTATCGTATAAAAAATTGTTGTCTCTTATATCTAACTGACTTTAGTCAGACATATTCCGTTAAATATACATGTATATAGAAAGTATCTGGTATCCTGAGTGCATTTTAATTGCTCATAATTCATCATTAAAGCCACTACTTTCGTTGAACATTTTTATTTCTTCAACACTGTAAATCTTAACATATCATTTGAAGAATTTTTGACTCGACATCCGACAAGTGGTTGTACCCGGAAACCTTTACGGCATTTGTATACACACCAGCAATGTCTACCAGTTCACTGTTAACAGAATTCCCGACACCAAGAACCACTATTTCAGCGCCCTCATTGCGTAATTTGTTAGCCTCTGTCACTGTTGCAGTGTGGTTATTTGACCGACCGTCCGTGATAACAACCACGACGTTTTTAGCATCTGGTCTGTCTCCATTTGTAAACTGCAGAAGCATACATAATTTATGAAATTCGTCCGATAATTATCTGGCAAAAAGGTAACATAAGCTAATTAGATCGATTCTTGACCCTTAGATTATCTGACAAACTCCGTTAATATAAAGGCACACATGCCAACTTGACAAGAAGTTAAATATCTGAATGTATTAATACATTATTAGAATTTTAGATATTCCTTTTGAGATTAACTATATTCTTAAAAGTATTAACAGGGAAAATGTTTATTTTATCAACATGTGTGAGTATACATAAATTAATATAAAAATAAAATATTATAGGACAGAAGTACTAAACTAGTTTTATAGAGTAAGGCATCTTTACTTGAAAAGTTATGTCAACAAAGACCAACAAGGAAATGCAACATTAAATGACTGCATCTTTAACAAAATCCAGCACCACAAACCTGAAATACGTTTTCCCGGACATATTTTAGTGCACTACCGGTGTTGGTTGTACCGTTGTGGTATGGCACATACGTGAGAGCATTTAATAGATCCGCCTTGTTAGTGTAGTCATTCAAATACCATTGTAAATGTGGGTCATTGTCAAACAGTAGAACAGACATCTGGAATAATAGAAAGATCGAAAGCATGTTCATTTCTCTCAATAATGATCGAATTGATTATATACACCCACTTTCTGGACTCATATGTAGAAACAAAAATCCTGAACAAACGTGAACGGAACCTTATGTGATAAATAGATGTGCACAAATGTTTCCTGTTTTAGCGGTAGAATGTAGGGGTAATATGCGTTTTTTGACCGCTGATCGTCTTTGTTAACATTTACTTTTTTATTCAACTAGTTAAGAGAATCACTAAAGTTCGAAAAGTGTATACTAACATATGTATTAAACCGAACGTATAAAGAACTGATATCTTTAAAACTTAAAGATGTCATAGAATATTCTCAAATGCCAGAGAATGATAACTTATGAATCCATTTGCTACTATAACAATAACATAAAATGTGAACTACCTGATCACCATGACTTCCTATGTCGAGATGACTAACAATGTCTTTTATAAAAGATATCACTTTTTGGAATCCTGGGAATCCAACGCTACCAGACTCGTCGACTACAAACACAACGTCGCTATGGCAACCTAATGACGAACAAATCAGTTGATATTGTTTCACCCAAAATCAATAAAAAGTAGTATAATAAAAATGGCTTCGAAATTCTCATGTTTGCCAGCAAAGTTTGAATTATTTATAATAAAAAGTATTTTTATTACAAATCCTGTGTGTCTTGAATAACATGGCAAATGAAAGTGCAAATTGGTTATGGTATAATTTAGGCATCAAAATTTGAAACATTCAAGAACTCTAACAGATGTGGCTCGGGGAGTCAGTGCCTTCTATTGCAACAAAGGATAGAAATGAGAGCTTCTATAACGATTAAGACATCGCCCCATTGTGTACATGAATATTTGCTCCGAAAAAAAAGTCTTCATTGGCACGAACAAAAATCTAATGCAATTGTACCTATAAAAATACTGTATGTTAAGATTTTAAAATATATCATCTCTATATTAAATAGGTTGATAATATTTCTCTTCTATATATGCTTTGATTTTCATTAACAGTGTACAATGAACCAATTATATAAATCAATAGAGTATATTGAATGAGTGTAAGTTCAATACTGAATTTATTGCACATTTAGAATGAAATTATAATATGCGTATGCGAGCTCCTGGCGAGCATAATATTATTTTATTCAACAAGTTCAATAAATTCAGTAATGAACTTACACGAATTTAATATTCTATTTATCACATATCCAAAATAAAGACATTTAAAGTGAAATAAGAGTCATTTTTCATTAACGCGTCAATAGTATAACGCTAACATTTTACGTGTTGTCGCCGGCGAAAGCACGACAAAGCGCCAAACGGTGGTACTATCGCTAACGTTGCACGCCAGACGCCGCTTTTCGTGCGACGTGTTGTCGCGATGTCATATTGTCGCTCAGCTCAAATCAAAGGATTGGCAACAAGGCCAAGCGACAGGGCGACATCGCCAAAACACACCACACGACAACGGACCGTTTGGCATGCTTCGCTAGAGACAGTGCGTCGTTTGGCGATTTTTGCTAGCGACAAGATGAAAAGGCAATAACGATATCGGTTGAGTTGTCGCTATCGGCAACGCAACGAGCAAAGTGTACCAAGTCAGCGACTATAGTACTTTGAACCTAATTTTATCACCATTTTGAAAAAAAAAATTATAATCCATAGATTCCGGACCAATGGCCGCGGGAAAACTTACTGTAAAATCCCGGAGGGGCGGCGGTTGATGCAAGTGGTTTTTGTGTTGTTGTTGTGAAATCTGGGACATTACAAAGGTCGGTGTGACAGCAGTGAAGTTTTAGATCACGAGGGGCGTTTCTTTTACCTATTATACCATTAAAGCCAAAACCTGCACCGTCACAAACCTTAATCAACGAGAAGAAAATTTAAGTGAATAAAATTTTGTAGTTTTATAATAAATGTATTGCTTAATATACATGTTTATTTTTTTTCCAGTTCATATACATTTTTCGCTTGATACTTAATCTTAACGGCAAAATTCGCCATCAACAACAACGAGAAGTAAAAAAAAATATACAATAAAAGCAAAACAATTCCACTTGATGAACATATGCATACACTATTCAAATAAGAAGTTCAATGGCTTATAATTTTTTTCTTCTTCAAAGCGAAATTTCACAGATACACCACTTCTTTAGTCATAAATCAATAAAAAATAATATTACAGGACAGTCATTGAAAACATATTTCACAACAAAATGTTTATATGTGTTTGTATTGGAGAAAACATTTAAATATGTTTGCGTAAAGAATTTAACATGTATCTAAGAAACGATTATCCGTAAAGCCAGTGAATAAAGTGTCAATGCATCAGTTACATACTGGCTTACTTATTGACAGGTTCAGTGTAATTTCAACGTAAACTCGAACGGTAACATAAGTTTTTGAATAAGTTTGTGAAGTTATTTCTGAATTAAATTATAAATTTTGTAAAACTTTCAAATTTCCTGACAGATATCTTAAAAAAGAAGAAACACGACCGAAATGAATTTATTCATGCGCCTTAGTGATTAGGTCTTAGGGGATAGACATCATTGGCATTTTGTGTTGTTTACAAATTGACTTTATGAGGTTCGTTTCGTATACACTGACATTCTAGATTAGAAAAGCAGTGTGTGGGTTTGAAAAGAGGACCAAAGAAACAATACTAAACTAATTCTATCTTTAAGGATGTCCGTACATTAACTTATAAAATAAATAAGGAAGAGATGAAGGCTTGGAAATCAAGAAGGACTCACACTTCTGGATATGCAGGATAAAATGTGTTCAATATGTCCATCATGCGCATATGCTGTGTTGATCATACACATCTGAAACAAACATGTATTAAACATAGTTATAGAAAGGGTCATTACTTATTGCACCAGTTGTATTTGATATAAGTAGACATATTCCAATTTGACAATTCAACCATTAACGACAACGACATGAGACTGAGACAAATGCTGGCATGAGCATATATTTTTACCGAAATCTATACTGCTTTAAGCTAAACAGTAATGTTGTGATTTTAGGATATAGGCAATGAAACATAGTCGATGAATGGATCTGTATTTACACCCCCTGAATTCCTGTGTTTGCATCACAAAACATTCATTGAAATTGTCAACAAATTTTATACTTCGGTCCAAGAAGGCCAATAACAAAATAACAATTGGATCAGCAAGCAAACTATTTCGGATAAAAGTTAATATGTGAATTATCTTCTATTGTAAATTTAAACGAAAGACAATCATTTCTTTAAAAATATGAAATATAGTATTTGTTTTCTCCCTTGCCCCTGCGCAGTGCAAATATACTTTCAAGATACTAAAATACTAGTTCTATGATCTGTATATCATTTTGATTCCGTTACCCAACTATTGTTTTGTTGTTTTTTTGGTTTTTTTTTCGTTTTTTTTTTAAATTTTTTACACAATACAAAACATTTATGCATAATCATACAATATATGAGATATACGTATAAGGAGGAATAAGAGATTTATTTTTAGAATCTACAAAGATTATAGATATAATAAAGATAATTATTCATTAGTATCTTTACAGAGTTGACAAATTTTTAATACCAGACTTATTTTAGTATAACATATAATTTAGCAAAAGATTCATTTTTGGAACTTATTACTTTACAATATTATAGAACTTATTTAACATAAAGGAGAAATTCCAATTTTACATTGAACTTGTATTGAAAAAAAATGTCATTAATTCAAGGGAAAAAACTCCTACTATCTTAAAATTGATATCCAGTTAAGAGTTGTACTTCTTGTCATGAATACCTTATGCAAACATTAAAAAAGACCAAAGGTCATTCAAGGTGTAAAAAAAATAAAGATACAAAAAAGGGCAGTGGGTGCAATACAGAGTGGATCAAGCCTAAATAAATGATCTTAAAACATTAGTCTCAATTACTCAAACTATTGTTTACAAGATTATAAAATAAAGTATTTTGATGAAAAACAATCAGTATTGAAATATTATTTTTAATACTACCTCTGACGAAGCACAGTGTTTAGTTGTGTTGCATGTTACTGAACCAGTTACCGGAACCTGTGGGCAGTGATAACACGTCAATGCTGGAAAAAATGGAAACAAATTGTTTGAAAATTGTCTCAACGAATACAACGAAAGGTTAGTATATATTGCATTGTTTATTTATTTGTTGCAAAAAAAGCTGGCATTTGTAATTTTCCATAGACAAAAAACAACAAATAGCCCTGCTTGATAAAACTGTCACTTTATCATCACAAAATAAAATATGTGTTTGAAAATCATTATCAATGTTGTTTATAAACTCGTATGTATTTTTTTATATATATTGTGGAACTTAAAACTTAAGGGTGGGTTGGAAGAAGATCTAGTTATTTGAGCGCTGCGTCCCACCCTTGTTTTTCTGTCTTTCTTATTATGCAAATACAGATAGCAGTATTTAAGATCAAAATAAAATATATGTTCAAGGTGACCCAGAAAATCATTCTTTTAAGTTTCTTTGTTTGAAAGTTCAACAAGAATGCAAAAATATCAATGACATGATACGTTATAATATGTTTAACTCTATGTCATTTCTTTCTTTCATGTTGTCATAGATATTTTAACCAGGAAATGAAAATTGAAATGAAATCAACATGTATAGGTCTTAACTTATGTGTCGTTCATTCACTTTGTAGTATTGAAATTTGTTTAATGGGTACATAAGAACTGATATCTTCACATAAGTGAAGTGTTCTTTTTTGCAAGCAATTTTACAGTTCTTTTGTATTCATATAGTAAGTGAAGCATACGTGTTTTGATGTAATATTATGCGTGAATTGTTTGAAAGCTTCATGTCTGTTTTCTTTTCCTGACACCATTTTTATGAAATGATGTATTTGTTTCCATGGAAATGAGCTTCTGGAATATCATGTTAGCATGTGGGTGTCATTTGGTCATAGGAGAAATATGTTTTTCTAAACATATTCGCATGTATAAAATAACAGTTATTTTCAGGATTTCATAAACTCCATCGTGTTACTTTACATCAAATTACTATATCCCCGGGCACCGGCACCATAATTATGTATACAACAGTTGACAAATGGTGATAATTTTCGTTATGGAAAATAGTTAACCTTAAATTACTGCTTTTTTCCAAAACATTTCTTAAAAGAATCCCAAATATTTTATAAGTCTTAGATTTTTTTGTAAATAATTAACAAACAAACACCTCTTTCATTCAATGATATTAGAAAAAACAAAGAAAATGAAGTGCCAACGGACGTTTCTTAACGTGGTAATTACGCTCATCAACACTTTCTAGTATTATAAATGTATTGTTAATTACTATAATTAATTAGATACCAATCAAACAATGTGAGCATTCGTAAGTTACATAACAATACTTTGTGTCAGAAAAAAGGTATTTTACATAACAAAACAGTTAAACAGATGACGGATATTGCCAATATGCAACAAATCTAACAAATCAAGTTTCGGGAAGGAAAAATGACTTACTAAGAAGTGTTTAATATTACATGGAATCAGAAGGCAATAACAAGCATTTTTAAACCGATGTAAAAATGAAAAGAGATATAAGAATGTTAACACTTTACAAATTTCATAATAAGAAGTATTTATCTCTTACATAGTCTATTTCAACACAAAACTTTGGATAAACAAGGATTTTATCAGAAGGAAAAAAGAAAAATAATAACAACTAGAAACAAAATCATCGGCATTTGTGAAACATTTTGGCGAGAAATTTTACTAACATATAAAAATAATACATTCAAAAGGAATTTCGAGAGTGCAGTTCAATAACCAAAATTTATTTGAAAGCTACATATTTAATAAATCCCTAATCTGACCTTTCATTTGAACAACAACAGATTTAACCGCCAACATTTACATGTGCTCTTTTGTAAACAAATATGCTGTGGTGAAATTCGTATTGTATCCACTAATCTTATAATGAGAATCATGATAATGCAGACTTACGGCATGTTCCACATGTACGAGGACATGCTGTGTTGGCTACGGGTGAAGTGGAACAAAAGTCGGGCTTTGAAGCAATGAACAGCTGACATCCTTTCGTGTCAAGGTCATGGCACACTTGGCATGATGAAGGCACCGCTAGACTCACAACTGAAACAATAAATAGTAATAAATGCCTCGTTTGCTATGAAGCTTAACCAAACATTACATATTACTAAAACATTATATAATAATTACGTATATTAGTATGTTCTAGAAATATTAGCTCTGTTGGGTATGTCTCTAAATAAATCCATTGCAATTACAAATAACGTTCACATGTGTATATTTAGGATTAAATACAATCTGTTCAATGAAAACAAACACTTTTCTTGGTTATTGACAATTTTTTTCACTTAGAAAGGTTTGGCCGTTTGTGCTAGATATACTGTCTTGCCTGTATCTCACCAAATGACTTGTTTTAACATCTTCAAATGCTCTTGTATTACAATTGTGCAATAATCGTCGCCATATACAGTATAAATTACACAATCTATACAAACTTAGTGAACTTAAAACAATATCAAATAATCAACATGTTTGTTATGTGAATTTCGAAAAGAAGTTAGCACTAAATTTCAGAATAGTAATTTTTATTTCACATTTCATTTTAGACTATGATTTTTTACTCCATTTTACTCTGCGTACGAAAAGTGCCATCGAGCCTCTCACTAATTCAAACATGTCCGAAATGGCGGGTGTATAAACTAATCATACACAAACTGAATTGTTAGAAATTTGTATTATCATTCGTTTTGTCCAGGAAATATTTAACACAAAAATTAAATTGTTCCACATACCTACGGCTATATATAATAAAATAAGTCCATTAGGAGAATACGCCATTTTTATTTGTATCTTAGACATTGATAAGATAAATAAGGTCATTTATTTAGAGAAGAGATAAGACAGTATATTTTTGTTTAACCTAATTAATTTACTTAAACATTAAGTGTTGTATTGATAACATATTCGTGAATTTCCGGTAATTTACGCCACCTTCGGTGCAAAAAACCCTGCATATTTGCTACAATTATCTAGGGAACTCAAACACTGTTCAAATTTTTATTAGATAGACAGAAGGACGAATAGATGAATGGCTGGATGGATGGATCTTTACTATTTTTCATCAGGTTTTACAATTGTACAATATGGCATATAACACTACTTAATATTTTACAACATAGTAGTCAGACAAAAGTAACTGATACAAAATCAATTTATTAAAAATAAACTTATGTTGAAAGGTACGGCAAATACATTGAAGCCTATTTGTTCATTTTCTTTTGAAAATGTAAAGTGTATCATTTTCAAACCAGTAACAAGTATATCTTTTGTATGATAACGTTTAAATTTTAAATTAGTAATCGTTTCCAAATAAAATTAATAAAATGGACGAACTTTGCAGCTCGCTGCTTTCTTAATTATAAGCCTGAAAAGATAACAACCAGTTTAAACGGTGCTGCCTTTTCTTTTGAGCCCGATGTAATAACATAATTTGCTTGTCCTGGTCAGTTCGTACAAGTACATTTTACATGAATAGCTTGACAGTCTTCATTTGGATGTGCACAAATGTATAACTTGAGTTTTCTGTTACAAAACTGTGTTCTAGCATTAGATAATTTGATTTATCAATTTTCTTTCAGCCTATTAGCGTTTTCGCGAAAAACAAATGTTTTTAGAATTTAATAAGCTAATTATTGGCTTCTTTCAAAGGACAGAACTTGCAAGATATTATCAATTTGAATTCACGTACTATACACTCAATTCCTTAATAAAATACTGTTTCATTTCGCGGATTGTTAAAAAATGGAACTCTGTTTTTTAAAGAAGCGTTCAGGAGCTTGCAAAAGTTTAAATAAGCAAATACGACATCTGATCAAATAAAAAAGAGACCACACATTACTATATCGATACGGTATACTTGTTACTTAAATACTTAAATGTTATTAAGCCCAGTATCCTAATTCAACAATCATAAATTTAGGATAGTGACACTTGTTAAAAGGAAAAGAAAGCTATTGTAGCATTCATCGCTAGGCCATTTGCTGCTCCCTACTTATGTATCTAAGAAAATTTCACATGTTAAGATTTTAAAGGGGATTTTCGTCATAGGATGTGTTGTTCGAAAATTAAACCTCCGTACTATAACAAAATCACTTTATCTATCGCTAAAAAAATTGTAAAAGGCAATCGAAGAAACATTGAAAAAAGAAAATAAATATGGTTATACCGGAACAACTATGCTTGTGTACGTTTCTTATTTTCCTTCGGACTGACAGAAATAGTATGCAGATGAATTGTTGCTAAGAAAATTTTCTAAAATCAATTCTCAATTATTGACAAAGCAAAACAGTTTACTTGATTTAGAATTGAACAGAAGTTTTTTTTTTAATTAAAGGCAATTTTTGTATTCAAATGAATAAATAAATAAATAAATAAATGCTATTTTTAGTTCGCACTAAAGAAATAGTTCCGAATGAGGTCATTAGATAAAGGTTCTTGATTATACAAGCTGGTCTAGACCCCCACGGCTTACACACTGAACTGATATGGGGAATCCATTGCTGCGGAAAATTATATTCTCGGTAAACGCGTTTGAAACGCTTCCAACGTGTATTGTAATATTTATCTACAAAACATGCAAACATTTGTTGTTGGTACATGTATTTTATTCTAATGTCATTCAAGAAAACAATTAACTTTTACATACTTTCGAATGTTTTTGTCTAATTTACTTAAATATCATTGAACTATATTGTTTCACGCATGCCTAAATATTGTAGTTCTTGCGTGCACGCAATTGGAAACGACTTCAATCTATTGGATAGCTTAAGAAACAAATATTGGACTTTTTCACTTCAAACGAGATATTAATTTTAATTACAATAAATAAATCTGTTATTTAAAGTACATTACGTAATGAATTGATGGTTTTAGTCAAGAAGTATCACTTTTACAGCTTTCTGTACTGACTTTCTGCATTACAGATTTAAGATTATCAAATTAATAGAATGTTATTAAGTTTCCAGTGTATAACTGAATTTCTGAAATCCATAAATTCCTCAAAATAAATGTGTCTTGAACCTAATTAGATAACTATTTGCTGCCATTTCTCGGGAGGAAATTGCTCAAAATGAAAAGTATTTAGTCTAACATGCGGAGTATATTATGAAGATTTTTACTATCTTTAATGTTCAAGATATGTTCTCTCAATATAATTGCAAGTGGACATAGGATGCAATGTTGAAATACGTGTTATTGCTTTCTATTTTAAAAGGCCATGGAGGTCGGTTTTGATTGGTGAGACAAATTGCATTATAAATGGATGGTGCGTTGCATTTATCTCGTTTCTAATAATCATATGCAGGTTTTAAAATCAGCATACTATTAACAAACAAATTAATCGTGTAACATACAAGATTAGCTGTATAAAGGAAACTTAATAGTGTTGAACTTTAATTAAGGTTTATGTACGGGAGTTATCCGTAAACTTCGTGGGCAGCGTTATTATTTTCATCAATAATATATCATACACGTGTAACGCAAAAAATATATACATTGTATAATAACGTTGGTGTAAGACCTATTAGATGACAGTCGCAAATGTTAAAATTAATTAATTATATAATATGTAATAAAAAAAGATATAATATACATTTATTATTGGAAACACGTATTCCTTTTTCATGTAAGGTATAAATCAGTGCATTCGTATAACAATGCACACAGCGTTACCTTTCGAACTTACTTCGAAATTACGCTACAATTATACAAAAATAGATTGAAATCATTAACTTTTCTATTGTCATGTATCTGATTAATAACATATATGTTTTGAATACAGTATCATAATTTGATAGTCGTGATATAATTTAAAAGTGACTTACAAAAATGAACATTTGTGCTGTTGTGATGTATTCATGGAAAATACTTTAAATTTGTTATCTAAAAATAAATTATACTATTACGAGTATTTAAATATTATAATCTAAATTGATGGGCACAAAGAGAATACCAGCGTATATTTTGATAAAGTTGAAGTACAATTTAAAAAAAGAAGACATTCCAATTGGTCAAAGTCGCTTGCATCGAATCACGTGCCCCCACCCGCAATGAGTTCGAATCCCGTCAGGCACTATGTCTTCTTTTATGCTAGAAAGCTATTTAGTTTATTGTGTACTCAGTTCCCGTTCGTGCTTGAAAGGATTTATGGTGTGGCACCTAAGGTCTTCCTTTACTCCATCAATTTACCTGGAAAGTCGCCATATGACCATAACAAAGTGTTAGCGTGACTTAAAAAAGTAAAAAAAAAAAAATATTGTAGACATATTTAATTGACAACTGTGATCTTCTTGGAAATGAAAATTTGACTTTAAATTTCATAAATGCTATCCTTTCAACCAATTGTAAACAACCTTTATTGAGCCGTCGGTTTTGTAAATTTCAATTTAATCGATTACAAATTAAGGTAAAACATCATGTTAATACTGCTTCGCCGAATTAAACACATACGAAAGTCCATCTAACCCTTTATATAACATGCCGATAAAACATGTAACAATCATATCTTATTCATGAACAATCATTGTAACAAGGACAGTAATGGTTGCCAAATTAAGCCATTGGGATTGTATAAGGATCATATTACTTCTATTTCAGGCTTACATCACAGCTACATGAGGTCAAAATAAATGTCATAACTTATTTTTACTCTTGTTGTGATTTCAGAACCTGACCATTATAGTTGGTCAAACTGAACGTAAAATGTCAATATCATGCAATTGTTTTTCTTATTGATAAATAACGATCAAAGATGATTAGGTAGCTATTGAAAAGCCCATTGGGATTTTGTTATACGCCAGACTGTAACTATTTTAGGTATTTCTAACCTTGCAAAGACAATATCTCTAAGAGTCTTAAAAGGTTAAAACCCACATTGGGGAATATAATTCATTTTAATTATATATCATGAGATTACAGTAAAACAATTAAAACCAACATCGGGACTGGACTAAAGTGGTCTTCATTGCGGGTTGGTCTTAATTGTGGGTATTCTTATCATTGCTTACACACTTTATGACTAAGGTCTATTTTAGTCATCATTTTGTATGAGCAAACACTATGTATCTTAATCTGCAAATACAATAAAAGTATGTTATAACTATATTAAATCTGGTGGGAAGAAAACATATTTCTGAAGAAATTTAATATCAAATTCTCTTTAGTCTGATTTCAATATTATTTAGTATAATTATGATGTATATAATTCACCTATCAAATAAAAAATTAATTCTTCACAAAATAAATGTGCTTAAAGCAACATTTAACTACTCTTAAATTTACTTTCTGACCTTATTTTATTCAATATCCCAATAATAACAGTCTTTGACACCTTGTGAAATCAAGTGTCATGCTTATGAGCATTCAATCAGATACATGTAACAACAACATAACAATAAATTTAAGATAGAGGTAGGTGCTGACTTAAATATCAATGGTCTCAATAGTGGGGTCAAATAAAGAATAAAACAAAGAATTGGGACCAAAACTGGTGGTCTTAAAACTGGATAAGTGAGTTGGTCTTAATTTTGAATCACTTAACAATTGACATAAATAACAGAAAATTACATTCTTTTAAAAAATGGTCTTAATAGCGGAGTGGTCTTTATTTCGGGGTGGTCTTAAGTAGGGATACTATTAGACATGTATCTTGCATTATTGAGTAAAGATAGCGCCTCGTTCAATAAAGCTTTTTAAAACCGTGTAATAGAATCAGTATTGTACTCGACAATGTCGCTTTAATGTTTGTTGTGTTTAATTGTCAAGTACATCTATTATATAACTTAACATATTATTTTAAGAATATCTTTAATAATTCAATAGAAAGCAGAATTATAATATGTACTTGATATGGGTTT